GGACTTGGCGCTGCGACAGACGCCGAACCTGATCCTGATACGGCAGATCCTTGAGAAAAGGCGCAGTGCCTGTCATCGTTACCATTGCATGTTGCTAAAACAGTTTATAGCTTGTTTTCAATTTAAATTGGAATATTGTAAATAAACTTAAGAATTAGAAATCCTACTGATATTGAAATCTTCCGAGCATGGAGAAGTGGTGGATGTTTCATTGACATTGCTATCTTCAGCATGATCTTGATCTTCACACGATGCTCCATCGGTATCCATCCCAAATTCTTTCTTTTCTGCTTTTTGCGACAATTGCTGAAACGATGAAAGTGTAATCAGTTGCATCACATAACAATGATACACCTACCTGTTGATATGCAGCGAGTTGAAGGATGTTGAGTGGCATAGAGCGAATGACTGGATTACTCTTCTAGAAGAAAATAAAATATGAGCAGGTGCTTTAAGATCCCAATCTTACACATTGGATAAAGCAAATCTTGTTATGAAAGTTTTAGTTTACTCACCTTTCGTCTCCCTCCAGTATTATGAGGCCTATTCTTCTTCGCTCTCTCATAAGCTTCATCGCCATGGACAGTTTTAATATGTTTGCGCAGAGATGAGGGATCAGTATAGCTCTTTTCGCATTGGGAAATAGAACAGACATATGGTTTCTGTAACTAGAAAATGGTTTAAGGTGGATGTTTGAGCCGTAAGGTTCAGAAAAATAAGGTTTAGCTCAAATTTTCCTTTGTAATTCTGGATTTACAATTCCGAGTTGAAGCACGAGAATGGCTCGAAAAAGAGAAAGTGCTAAGAAACACCGTCTTTTAAAAATGGATTATCAGAATTAATTACAAATTGCTATGCTCATTTTGTTTTAACTCACTAATCTTCCTTCCCCTATTTGCTTCAATGAAACTGATTGAAAATATTGCTATTTACTCAAAATTACCAACAAAACTTTTTCGATCAATGGTTACAAAGGAGTTAGTGCCTAAGGAAGAGAAGAAGATTATAAAGCCAACCTGCACTAGAAGTAGACGGTAAAAACATTTAGCACACTCACCAAATTGGAATGCGTCCTATTCTGATGTTTTGCACGATCGCTTGCATTACTGAAAGCCTTAGGACATCCAGGAATCTCACAGGCGTATGGCCTAAACACGGTAGTTCGATAAAATTAGAAGCAAACGACATGAAAAAGGAAAACAAAAGCACTTCTCTCCAGTGTGGGTTCTCATGTGCGTTTTCAAATTCTCCAGGCGACTATAAGATTTGTTACAGCCGGGATGCTAGAAGTCTTATTTCTGATTTAATATGATAATGACTACTCTGAGATTCTGACTCACCGTGCATTCATTTGGTTTCTCTCCTGTATGCTTGCGCACATGAACAACTAGCATGTATAATGCGCGAAATGGCTCCGTACGGTCACAACCCCTCCACCTGCATACCCAATCACGATTGGAAATATTTACATGACAATCGGAAACGTGGTCGACCAACGCCTGAAAACTTCCCTTATGAGCATTTTCGTTTGAAATTGGGTTACTTTGTTGATGTTGCTTGCTCACTTCAAAAAAGTATTCAACGCTGTTCAGATGCAACACTACATTTGAAAAATTTGCAGTCTCTCAAAAAAAAAAAGTGATCTTAGCGCAAAAAATTTAAACAGAA